TAAATAAATAAATAAATAAATATATATATATATATCAAGATAATCGCATGTATACAATATTATCATTGTTAATAATATAGAACCGAAATAATTATAAAAGTAAATACTGATAGATCTTTGACTTTGCCGGTTATCAAGAATATCCATTCTTGTTGCATATCATTTCTGGTTTTGTTTTGTTTTGTTTGAATCAGTGCATGCATATACCATTACGAACGCATAGTTGTATAGCCTTTGTGGACGGTCAATTGTCGTGTAAAAAAGAAAGAACAAGAATAAGAGTAAAACAAAGCAGAATGAACGAGAGAAGGGATAAATAATTCTAAACTGGGGCAACTTCATTTTACCCTAAGGAATACTTTGGATTACAATGGGCCCGTAAAAAAAGATAAAAGTGTGAAGTCAGCAGAGATTGGTACTAGACGTGCCGATGACATCACGCTTGGAAAGATGCATCACCGCCGCTTCCAATGTAGATATTGGTGCAACTACTATGGAAAATTCAACGTTTTAGTAGTCAGACGAGGAGTTGCCAACAGGACGCTGTTTTTATGGACTTGGCTTACTGATATTCATTTGTTCTCTCTCACCTAAAGTTGTATCCACTACTTCGGTACATCACTCCACCCTCCGTCCGTAAAGAATACATTTATGTGCCATTTTCTAAAACTCTCTACTTCAATCGTCCTTTTCAGTGCAAAGCGGCTGATATCCTTGAACTACTCATATACAGTAAGAGAATCGACTATTGGGGTGGCAAAGAATACCTTTTATCGCATTTATTTCAATTTCTATTCTTTATATTTCCTGCAGGAGATTATTCTGAATTCGAATTTTAAAATAAAAAATTGTACTATTCGTTTAAGATAGTAAATAGTTTAAGATAAGTAAATCATACTTTCGTATGCATATTTTATATGGGTTAGATTTTTTAACAGTATGCGAATTTTTAATTAATCGAAGATAAATTTTAGTTTGTTTCCCGACAACAGTAAATATATGAATTTATACATGTATTAATTTTCTTTTTTTAATTATGTTAAATTTATTTCGTATTTTATTTTTCTATAAATGATATTAAAGACATAATGTTAATTTAAAATACCATTTATGCATTATTATTTATGATTTGCATAATTTATTTCTTCCTAGGAATTTGAAATTTGAAACATTTAAAAAATGTTTTACAATAAATATGAAACTAATCATTTAAGCAAATTATTTAAGCAAAATTGTAGCAGAATAATTAATATATTTCTAAATGGAAAAATGTGTTTTATTATAAAGCTGTAGTCGGTTAATTTTAATGTTATACATAATCAAACAACAGATAACCAATAATATATATATATATATATATATATATAGTTACTTTCCAATATTACACTGATATATTATTATATTTTTGCAATATTATGTATTGTATAAATACAAATTATTATATCATGAAAATTAATAGTATATATTTAATTACTTCCTATGTACTGTATTTATCTACTGTATTTTGACTTATATTATTACAAAAGTTATCTTTAATAAATACGGTTTGCTATATATAAAATTTTGGATATTTAATGGAAATGAACTATTTGGCATTTATATAAATCTTCATGCATTTTGTTATATCTACTAATTTTGATAATAACGATTCCATTGTTGACTAAAGTATTTTTATGGATGTAATAGACATTTATTTTCGATAAAACGATAATTCACCAGTTTTCTACCATCATTCATAAAATAAAGGAATTGATTTATTTCATGATTCCTTTTTTATTTGTTTGTGGTTAATTTTGACTAGGATTTTTACGATAGAGGTACTATAGTATTAATGAATGTTCTGGAAATTCAAGATGTTATCTAATGAGTATTTACGTTGAGCCATCAGTAGTCTGTAATAAAATTAAAATTCGTATTTACGGGTCATGCGTAAATGTAGAGTAAAATTCATTCCACTAAGATAAAGCAAATTTCAAATAAAATTGTCATTTTGTACGCTATAGTTAGAAAAATACAGATTATAGATTATAGATTACACCCCCTCACATACACACACACACACACACACACACACACACACACACACACACACACACACGCACACACATTAGATTATAAGTACAATATTTGATGCCTTTAATCAATGGATAATTACGATAATGTTATAATGTATCCGAATAATGAATAAATTAAATAAATAGGCTTATTTTTTGTATAAAATGCATAGAGAATTTATTGCATTATTATAATCTTATGAAAATCTAAAATCTATATTACTAGGTCATATAATAAGCAACGTCATCAGTAATATTTTATTTTATAATTCATTATAATATTTAGATTTCGGTATCTAATTAAACACGATCATTTTGAACTGGTTTCATGAATATCATTTAAAAACTTACATTTTTTTATTATGACAGAAATGTTAACAATTTTTTATTTTAATTTTATATTAACATTGAAAATTAATCTTAAATAAATTCATTAGTTTTATGCCATGAATTATACCTATTAATTGTTTTAAAGAATTAATTCAAGATAAATCACTTTTAAAATACAATTTATAATATTTTTTATAATAATTTAGAAATGTTAGAAATAATTTATATAGAGCTGTCGAAAGAATTGATTTATCCAGTATGTTACCGTATATAACCAAAAATATTATTTTTAAGAGTTTGAGTATTTCAATATTAGGAAAATATATGTTTAAATAAGCAATAAATTTGTTTCATAAGAGGTTCACATCTAGAATATTTACATTTTATTAAAATACACGATTCTTTATTTTATGGATAGATAATGTAAATGATTATTTAATTAATTTTAATTTATAACTTGTTAATTCATTAAATTAAATAAAAAAGTATTATATTTTTATTGTCTTGAATTTTAATGTATAATTATAACCACTTTCAAATATTTAAAACATAATAGTAATATTTAAAATATATAATAATATTTAAATTTTGAAAATTTATTTCTAATCATATTTAGTACTTTGAGCAGAATCAGATATTGTACGATAAAATTTGATTATCTAGTACAATTTACTTTATTAACTAATATAGTATTTATATCTATACATGAAAATAAATTAAAATTAGATTAGAATAATAAATGAATTTATATTTAACTGTGATTTATTTATAATATCAAAAAAGTCATATTGTATATTACAATTTTATTTTTTTACATTAAATTTTATTGTAATATGTATATCAAATTAAAATATTAAACAACATATAGTCCTATTCACATTTTTGTGTCTTTCTTTTAAGTTAGAATTAGATAGTTTTTAACACTTACTTTAATACTTTTTGATAAACATTTATCAAAAAGAAGAATTGAATGTATTGATAATAGTAGTTATTTATTTCAGAACCTATCGAAATACAAAAATAAATAAATACAAATATATATATATATATATGTATATACGGTGTATATAAGTATTTATTAATTTATGTACTGCGATAGGTTTTAAAATACATAACTACAATTATAAAATATATATTATTACATCAAAGATAATTAAAATGTCGATAATTAGAATTATGCAGAAATAAAACTGAAAACATGGTTTCGTACTTATTATATTTTAAGACTACAATAATTGTAGTCAAGTGTATATTGTTTCTACAATAATTTGCATATAATATTCAAACAATTGATTTTGCTAATTTGGTGAATAAAGTGACTCGATCTTTCAATACAAATTATTATCCAGCAAAGTGTAAGAATCATTCAAACAATAAAGACCTAAAGATCTTTCAGTTTTAAGAGATAAACAGCCCAAGGATCCTCTACTGTTCTATTTCTCCTGAGTAGCCTACTCTAACACTTAACGTCTGAGACAAGAGTGATTCAGCTTATCTGGACCGTTGTCGGATAACACTGGTGTCAAGTATTCCTCTTTATCGGTTAAATAGGGGGTTGTGACGTTTTCGGTTCTTGCCGATGAAGGGCGCTGCGAAACTCGTGATCAACCGCGCAATTCCAGTTATTTCCGAATGTAGTTTGCTCAGTGTTTGGTAAGCCGTCGGGGGTGTATGACGTTGTTCGTTTGCCTAATTTTTTTTTGTGCATAACGTGACTTACGCGTGGCAAGGTGAGAAATATGAATCTTCTGATTTAGGAAAATTCATAGAGACTGGAGGCTCTTTTACGTATGCTTCTATTGTTAACAGCTGATCCTACTGTTATTGTTGTTAATACTTTTAGTTGGTTTTCTTGGTTATAGTTAATAACAAGTGTTTCTTCGCCGATGAAACGTGTGCTATTTGTAATTTTGAAGTAAATCCAGTATTATTTATTATTTACGATAGGATAAATCAAGAGATGAAGCAGATTTTACGTGTAGCTAGGTGCAACTGTTTGAAGATGGGCTTGTGATGGCTCATGCGTGATTTAGGTGATGTACACGATGTCAGAATTCCAGGATTACCAAATTCGCACAAGACGACTCGCTTGAAGCGTTTTGATGATTATTGATATATTTCGATGAAATATTTGCACCATGGAATTGAAATGAAATGTATTTACTGATACGAGCTTGACAAACTATCTTTATAGATTTTTCAACAATCTATTCTATTAAATATTTAAGATAGGAAAGTAGGACATGAAAAAGTCAAAATGTGAAGTAAAAGTACTTATAAGTAAGAAAAGTTTATCTTGAGAATTAAAAGCTTTTAATATCAAATTTTTCGACGAATAATAAAGAATTCCAATAATATGAAATTATGCTACAAAGAGATCGATCAAATTTTGTTGGACATAAATAAACTACGGATCAAAAGCAGTATACATTTAAATAATAATGAATTTAAGCAATTAGTTTAGATTATAAAGTAATGTATATAAAGTTAATAATCAAAGTAGAAATCTAACATTTTTAAAACGAATATTAAAAATAGCGAGGAACGTGAAAAAACTTTATCAATATAATATTTAATCTTTATTATGAATATTATTTATCTAGGATCAATAGAGTATTCAAATTTCAATAAAAACATAGGATTGAGATAAATCTATGAAAGTTGAATCAAACTGATGAAACAGGAATACATAGTGGTCAACACGCAATAAATATGTGCAAAACTAACGGACCGTTAACAAGAAAATGAATCGATAAAAGTATAGGATCATAAATGTGAAAAGAAAGTCCACTAGACCGTGCAAAAAGTGTCGAGGGAAGCGTGAAAAACAGATTTCGAAATAGGAGACCAAATTTTTAGCTGAAAGCTAATGGCGCGCGATTTGACTCGCAGACAAAATCAAGAGGGATGAAGCTGATGCTGGAAGCTCCCAGTGGCGAACGATGGCCTCGTGCCTTTGGATTAGCTTGGAAAACGCGGATGAATTAAGATGAACGACGGGGCCGCGGTGTAGCATAGCGAGGATGGCAGTATACCGCGGCATGGTGATACTTCTTCTCGGGCTGCTTTGTCTTTTGCGCGCTGAGTCGTCGTTGAGGGTTGCCGACGAGGCCGAACACGTGCAACAGTACCAGCATCCAGGTAATTAGATGGAACCTTCAAGGTTGGAATTTCATTTGTACTGATCGGATGAACGAGTCTGTCATTACTGTCGTTATAAATAGCGCTCTAATGCCCGAGTATAACCTTAAAATCTACTTGCACTCGAGAGAGATTCTAGTCTAGGAGATGAACGATGCAATAAATATGGGAGTGGCGTGGGGGATTCGTACGGGGCGTGATTGTACTTTTTCAGCAGTGATTTTGTGTAGTACGGTTCAGCGATAAGCTTGAAATTAGAACACTAATTTATTTAAAATGTACAGTTTTGTGACATATAAAAGATAGATGTTACTTCCTTGTGTGACTTTAGAGAAAATGGAATTTCATTAGTATCGTAATAAGTATGGGAAAAGTGGTTTTTAAGGAAAATATCATTATATTCTATTAAGAGAAATTTTACTTGTCGTTAAAAGAATAATTTTATTTTAAAAGAAATTTTATTTGTGAATTCATTTAATGACTAAATACAGATGAATGTTAAAAAATGAATATAAATTTGATTCAATACAACCTTGAATTAATGTTTTTTTGATCGGCCAGTACATTTATTTACGTATCTCTTATGTATAAATAATCGTGTATGTTTACATTAAAGATATTTATGCATAATTTTTTGCATAGTTTTTAACATAATTTTAATAATCGAACATTCGCACAAGGAAAGAATGTAATGAAATCTTTGACATGTTTTCAGATATTATTACTTTTAGTGATCGAGTCCGGCCTTATTCGATCAATAAAAATCTACGGATATATTTTGTATAACATTTTCACATATTATTGGGTGATAGTCAGTTAGGAGAGGACAATTTAAAATTTCTAATAATTCTTTAACGAGCTTCGATATTAAGGATAGATTAAAAAATGAAACTTTGTACAAGATATTCAGGGAAACTAAAAAGAAAATGCTTTAGATTTTAAAGTTTTAAAGAAAATGCTACAGATTTTTTATGAAATCTTTAATTTATAATTAATAATCAACGCATTGTTTTTCTTTCCATTCTAATAGTCATCGCTACAATATTTATTTTATCAAACTATTATTTTAGTCAAGTATTTTAGAAAATCTATAACTGAAATTTACGTAATAAATTGCATGTAATTTAACAATAAATTAAAAATGAAAATAATAATTTACTAAATACAGCAATTGACAAAATATGTAATTCATTTTGAAAGAATACAGTAATGTTTTAATTGATCCTAATCTTCTTTAATCCACGAAATATCAATTGCTTTTAAAGATTTTTTATACAATTTTTATATAATTTTTTCTCTTCAAATAATTTTGCCTAAAAGAAGTTTTTAAAATGATAATGATAAATATATATAAGCTATAAACAAATATTTTGAATTATATAATTTACAAATATTTAAAGAATTATTACTACGCACAAGGAAACTATATTTTTAACGCAGAAAAACAGAAAATTTTCAATTTAAAAAACTCAATATTTTAATTATTGCTTAAAATGAATGCAAAATAATGATATGATAAATTGACTGTTTACTCATAATATCATAATTTTTTACGAACTTTATATTATTCTTTTAAAATGAGATTAAAAGTTACTTATACATATATAATATCCTCATACATACATACATTTGTAAATAAATTAAAAATGTAAGTCTGATTTTTGTAATTAAAACATATATAAAAAGGAATTTTCATATTAAAATTTTTTTCTAATTATAAATCAGCCTTTCCTTGTTAATTCCCTAACATCTTTAGTTCAACTATCTATTACAATAACTAAAGAATAATATCGCACTTCTATTCTTGTAAACTAAATCGTTTTCTCAAGGAGAAAACCATATTAACTAACGATAAAAATAATAAAAAAGATTATAAATTCTTATTAAAGAAATTTTTTATTAAAATTAAAATAATAAATAAGAAATAAATGATATTCAATTCGGACTTATTTTGATAAACATCGAAAAATAAATAGCCTACAGGTATTTAATATTTAATAGAAATATCAACTTTTGAAAAACTTTCAAAATTTGAACAAAATTATTATCGGAGTTGGATATTTTCATATAAAGTGAAATGTAATGAAATGAAATGCTATAAAATGATTGTTAAAATAGAATTCTTTATTGAATACTTATCCAAAAACATATTTTCGAATTTGTATTCCATCTCATTTTTAATAACTTAAATGAATATTATACAAAAAAAATCAGTTGTTTTCTTTCTTTTAATTATAAAACTGATTAAACAATGAAAATTTCTTATTTACCTTTAATATATTTCTAATTTCTTATACGATACGTGATTTACAGGATAATTCATTATCAGGTTAATTTTTTATGCATATAATTTACATGTGTAGCTCTAAATAATGTTTTAATTGTCTTATCTAGAATATAGTATATTTTTCTTAAAGTTCGATAAATTTTTTAATTTAGTGGATATTGTCTTCATTTTGGTGAAGTTTATTGAAAAGAGAAAGATCAATATATTATTTAAAAACTGAATGTTAACTGCCTAATAAATAGTAACTTAATAATTAATTAACGGTTATTAAAAAATTATAGATAAAAATTATAGTGAATAATATGGTATGTAAAATTTTATAACAGAATCAATGACAAAGTCGATTTTTAATTAATAGTTTTATTTTTTAATATTGTAATTTTTTGTTCTTTCACCAGTTCTACCATTTTTTAATATTTAAATTATATATAAACGAGTACAATATTTCAAATCTTTGTACAAGGAAGCAGTTATAAATTTACAACTTTACTTTAAGTTTAACGGCTTCATGTAACAATATATTAATGGTCGGAGGGCGGATAGTAGGGACTAGTATGGGTAATAACATTTCTTGCTCCGAAAGAATGTTGGTAGTAAAAGTAACGTTGTTTTAATCCCGATTCATATTCAGTTCCTTCTAAGTAAATTATTTTTTAAATACTAAAGATTCCTTCTTTATGCTTTTATATTGAATTTGAAATTATATTGTATTTGATAAGCTTGAATTTCATATAATGAATAAGTATAACAATGATAATGTATAAAACATAAAGCATAAGAATAATGATAATATGTTGGTGTTCTCAATTTGTAGAATTACTGTAATAAGTTTTACTATAAATCTGTGGATATATCTATGTTCTGCTTCTGTTAATATTTCTATTTTACTTTGAAATTATAACGAAAAATAATGCGTATGATATATTTACGAATATTCATTTATAAATACACTTTTATTAATACTTAAACGTTGTCTCTCAATGTTTAGATTAATTAAAATCCTTATTTTTACAAAATATTGTGCATTATTTAAAGAGAATATAATGCAAGAAGCATTCTTGATATATTTTATATATTAAAAGTTATTTGTATAATAATTATTGCAAATTAATCACTAAAGTAGTAGATTACTGCAAATTGGTTTCTCGTTTTTATTACCTAAAATCAATGAATATTAATTTTAAAGAAGGAATAATACATTGACAGAAGTTTCATTAAAAGACAGATAGCACCACTCTGTTGCATAGATAAGAGCGTTAGATGAAAATTGAATTTTGTCGCAAATAGAATAATATTGGATTTATCACTTTCTTTTTTTTTTAATGAAAAAACTCTCTAGGCGATCATTAGACAACTTGTTTCCGGCACTTAGTGTTGAAGCTAATTGCATCATTCACAACGTATTAAACTTAATTATATTTTGATATTTACATTATTTAACGTCATTATAAATTTAGATAATATATCTTAGTACTGGAATAGCCGGATACGTATAAAAAGTTTTGAAGACGTAAGTGCGGATAAAGCTAATGGAATGGGAAAGCATTTTAGTGGTCTACGTTTAGTCTCTGCTTCTGTATTCTGCTTTATCTTATACTTCTCTCACTTTTGGGTATATGTGCGGATACTAAGAAATGTAAGGTGAAATCGTTTTTTCTTCGTCGTCTTTATTTTTATTCTCCTTTTGAAAAAATTGTACATTTCCTTCGTAATGGATTGTGGCCTTCATATATACATTCGTAACTTTGATATTTCTATAAAATACAATGTATTTTATGTCGTAAAAATATTTCAACGACAGAAAAAATATTACATGAATAAATTATATAAGTTTTGAAGTATTGAAAAATTTTATTATTGTTCAATTAAAATTTACACTTTAGTTGTAATTATTAAGGTATTTATATATTTTTAATTTTTAATAAAAAAAACTTATTTCCCTGGAAAAAATTTTGTAATAGAGCATAATTTTTATGAATCTGTATATGAATTATATTTTATGATATTCACATACTCAATTTCAAAGTGTATTTATGACATAAATTTATTTATTAAGTACGGTTGTATATATTTAAATTTTTTTCTTCAAAATTTTATAAGCAATTTTATCGATGCATGATTTAAAATGACAACAATAGAAAAATGAATGATAAATTAGCAATAATTATTTTGTAACCATTATATTGTTATATGTTACATATAGTCAATAAGATTATTTCTGCGATTACGCGTAAGAAATTCATTTTTATGAACATTTTTTAAAGTAAATTTAAACCAACTGTATAAATTTAAGAGTATTTAGTCATATTAATTAATATTGTAAAATAATTTTACTTTTAACAGTTAATAGAAGTTTAATATAATGCATTAAATAATAAATTATACTAATAATTTCAACATATCAACATTCGTCTCTATTTCAGTTAATTATTTTTTAAAAGTAAGGTATCTTTTATTCGATAATTTAAATATATTTTAAAAAAATAATAAAATTAAAAATTCATGGAATATGAAATTATTATTATGATTAGTATATTATTCCATCGAAAATGTTAATAAACAAAATATTTGGATAGGTAATGTATGAAAAAATTAATATTAAATTATAATTAAATTATGAATTTTCTATTTTTAAATATATAAAATACATTTTTAGAATATTCTTAACAATGAGTGTAAATTGAGAGTTCGAAAAATGAGTGTATGTGGCTAG